GATAGACCCCTGGCTAACAGAGGAAGGGTCAGGGGGCAGAAAGCAACCATCACAGTAACCAGGATAACCTAAAAAGTACCCACACTGCCAGGTGTGGTGGCGCGTGTCTATAATCCCAGCCGCTCGAGAGGCTGAGGCAAGTGGGTCTCAAGTTCAAAGCCAGCCTCAGCAACTCAGTGAGACCCTATCTCTAAATAAAATACAAAATAGGGCTGGGGATGTGGCTCAGTGGTTGAGTGCCCCTGGGTTCAATCCCCAGTACCAAAAAAAAAAAAAAAAAGAAAAACACATTCACCAAGTGCCAGCTGTGCTGTGGGCCAGGCTCAGAGTCCAGTACCTACTGGGTGTTAAGTCATGGGGTCCTCACTTGGCCCCATGCTGGGGGTCTGTTTAGAGCCTGATTTTACAGAGGAGGAAACCGAGGCTCAGGGTGCTCAAGGACACAAAGCCCAGAAGCCCAGTTCAGTGGGAAAGATGAGGCTTTCAGAGCAGGTTTCTGGAAGAAGGGAGCCCCACAGAGCCCTGAATTGAAGGAGGAGGAGAGAATTCAAGGGTATGAGAAACCTGTTGACAAGAAATGTCCACAGTAGGTGCCAGGGAAGAGGGTACCCTAATTGAGTGTATCTGCCACAACCAGGCCCTTGGACTCTGGGCCTCCACCTGGACCCGCCATGGATGTCCCTCCAAGTCCACCACCATATATTCAGTTGGGCCAGCCACTGTGGAGTTAAGTCCCTACCTACTGAGCCCCAGTGCCCCTCTCTGTCCTGGCTGCCCCTTGAAGGATATACAGGAAGAGGCACCTGCCCGAAAGACCCTCTGAGCCACACCTAGGTGGGACCCAGTGTTTCACCAGGAGGAGGCAGGAAGGCCCTAAGTCCTGTCACAGCTCCAGGTCCTCCTCTAAGCGGGGACTTTGCTAGTGGCCCCATCAGTCACCCCAGTCCCTTGCTGTACCAGTCCAGGGCTTCCTGCCAGTTCTCAATCCCCTTCACTCCAGTTTGAATCTCTGGAACTTCATTAGACCAATGACCTCAGCAACCCGAGCATAAGGGCTACGAGAGCCATGGGGGAGGCTGGGTCCTCTTCTGTGACTCCCAGAGGCTATGTGGGCCCCTGGGCTTCTGGGATTCAGCCTTATGGCAATGAGCACTATGTGAAAGAGCCACCTGAGGTTTCATCCCTCTGTCCCCAAGTCTATGCAAGGCCACAGAGCCCTGAGCTTAGAGATACCCCAGGGCAACCCCCCCCCCCCCCCCCCCCCCCCCCCCCCCCCCCCCCCCGCCAGTGCATACAGGGAGAGCTGTGGCCCAGGGAGGGGCAACAACCTCCTCAAGGTCACACAGCAAGGTAATAAGTTAATTTGTGGCATAAAGTGGAACACAGGGTTTGCCTAAGCACTCAGCTCTAAGGGGGTCTGGTGCCTACTCCATCCCAACCCCCTGACCCCAGTCCATGGCCCAGTGCTGCCCGCCCAGCCCCCACTGGCCTCCCAGCTCCTGGTCTCCGTTTTTCTTGCTAATTAGAGGTCTCAGCAATGACTTCGCTGTCCCAGCCATTTTAGAGCTGTCATTAATTTCAAGTGCCTTCAGAAATAATCATCATCGTAAAATCCTGTGAGCCGCTGGGCTGCATGCAGGCAGGGCCAGCCCAGAGCAGGCATGCAGGCAGGCCTGTGTGTGCCACCCTCTGTCCTGTGCCCCAAGGGACCCCGTCTCTACCAGGGCCCTGCCTCCTGCATCCTCAGCCTCCCAGAGTGAGAGGAGAACAGGGCCTGGATCCCACATCAGGCACACAGAGCTTCAAGGCCCTCCTCTACCTCTTAGGCATACATAAACTTGAGCAAGTCACCAGCTCTTCCTGAGCTTCAGTTTATCTGTACGGTGGGGACAGCAAAGCCAATCCTGCAGCAAGAAGAATGTCAAGCACAGCTCACAGCCAGACTCAGAAGAGGCTGAGTGAGTGTTAAAGGGCCCGTCCCTTCCTCCAGAGTCCCCCGGCAGTCCCGTTCCAGCCTCTGATTTGCTGCAGGCATTCAGGCTCCTTGCAGCCATCCGCCCCTGCTTTATTGGGACTTGTGAGTTGTCACCTGAAACCGTGATGTGCCAACCCATGAGACATGCAGTCTCAGACCTGCTCTTGGGAACTCCAAATCTGAGGACAGAGAGGGAGGAGAGGAGGACCTTGTCTCTAAAGCCACTTCATCTGGGGAGGGGAGGCAGGAATAGAGACAGTCTTGGTTTGATCTTGAAGAATGGACAGAAACCAGGAAGGAGGCAAGCCCAGACAGTGGACCAAGGAGAAAACTTAGCAGCGGGGCTGACACTCCTCCTCTGTAGCTCTGGATAGGATCTCCTAGATGTGTCAAAGAAGTCTTCAACTGGGCCTTCCTGACTTTTTACGCTGTCCAGGGCCCTGGGCCACCTGAAAATGCTCTCCAGGCAGGTTGGAGAAACGCCTTTTGGGAAGCTCAGGAGGAGGCATTTGATTGGGGGATTCCCATAAACAACACAGAGGTCAGGGCCCAGGTTCGGGCTAAGCCTTTCAAAGGTCATCTCCTCAAAAGTTCTCACCCCAAAGCCTCCCAGTCCCCATTATTCCTGTCGGTGGATATCTGAGAGGCTCGTTTCTTTTGGAGACAGGTTAGAGGCTGTTGAGATGGAGGACTAGGACTGTGGGGCAGTTCCTCGCAGACACAGCTCTGCGTCATCCCTGCAGCCTCCAAGACGCAAAGAGATCATTGTGGGCGCCAAAAGACCCCACCCTGGGACACCAACTTCCTCAGCCAGCATCTGGGACTGGGGGCGGGGGCGATGAGCTCTCCCCCATTTCTCCGCCGAGATCACTGAGGCAGGGAGCAGGTGAGTCGGGGGCGGAGATCTGCTGTGGCCGCGCCTTGCCTGCGTCAGTCGCCGCACCAGGAATAGCCCCCGCCCCCGCCCCCGCCCCGCAGCGGGTCTGGCGGAGCCTTTACGCAGGAGCTAGGGAGCGTCTATTCCTGTCGGGCTGGTGGGAGGAGGAGGCGCGGGAGGGCGGGAGCTCACCGGTAACTCACAAACAGCCAGGGTGGAGAAGCTGGAGCCTGGGAAGGGGGTGGGGAGAGCGGTGTTGATGGGCCAGGGAGCCACCTTCGCTGGACTCTGGAAGGGAGGGGGACTCCTGTGCCCGCCTCTCTATCTCCTCTCCCACCTGTAAGTCCCTCTGCCAAGCCTGCCTCCTACTGGTTTACTCAGCCCTGGTAGGCGATTCAAATTCCCTTCCCAGCCCTTAGAAGCTGTGTGACCCATGGGCAAGTCACCTAACATCCCTGAGCCTTGGGTTCCTTCTCTCTGTCACAAGGAACAATAGCGCCTCTTCCCAAGGTTTTTGGAAGATGAATGTAATGACCCAGCGTGGACACCTGCTGGGAAGGGGCTCTAGCTAGGCTTGGGATGAGGATGGACATAGACATAGAAGAAAAGAGAGTTCATCAGGACGGACTGTCCAGAGCAGTGGTGTGGCAGTGAGACTGAGAGGTACGCAGAAGCGGTTTAGCTGGAACAGGTCTGTGCAACTCTTTGGGGTGTGTGTGAGGCTAATTGTGGAAAGCAAGACAGTGCTAGGGGGGGTGTGGTGGGGAGTGACCTCTCCTTGCCAATCAGGCATCTCTGCAGAGAATGTCAGACAAGCTTCTTGGGAGAAGGGTGAGGCACTGGGAGCAGGGTCTGGGGGTCCGCCCCAGAAACTGACAGGCCTTGGGCTAGTCTCCCTCCCAGTCTCGGCTTCTTTCTCTGCCTGCAGGAGTCCCTACCCCTGTGGATTCAAGGTATCAGGAGCACTAATGTGCTAATGGGGACAGCAGTAATGTGCTAAAAGAGAAGGGGCCACTGTGCCTGGCGGTGACAGCATTGATGATGATTCTAATAAAACTGGTTGGTATTAAAGGGCATCTGGCTTCAAGTAGATGGAGGGGGTGTATAGTGGAAAGAGTTGAGTCCCAAAGAGTCCCAAAGCCTACTCTTCAGGCTTTGCCAAGACATCCTGCCTGCCTAGTCTCTTTATCTGTGCATCAAGGAGGATTTAGATCTCTAAGGAGAGGTCTCATTCCTTGGGAGCTAGCTCAAGCCTAGGCCAGGATTCTCCCTCCCGGCAAGACCTTTGGGGAGCCAGGTAGGAACGGCCAGGTCCAGACTGAGGCTCTGCACTGCCCTCTGCTGGTCACTGGGTGCAGTGCCCCCTGGCCACAACCGGTCAGAGAAGCCTGCTGCCCTCTGCTGGACAGGAATCCAGGCAGGGCGGACCCCCGCCGCAAATGCGGAAGCAAGACCCGGCATCGGGTTAGAACCGCGGAGCCAGCGCGGCTTCCTCAGTGTCCTTTGGCGCTTTTGGTTCCGCCGGCTCTGCCCCAAGACAGCTAGGATGTGGCCTCTCTAGAGTTTCGCGGACATTTCGAGAAGAGCAGGACAGAGGCTCAGAGACTGACCTCTCTCATGCCGCCCTCCAAACAACCCTGGCCAGGTGGGGAGCGCTGCCTGTTCACGTGTGTGTGTTCGTCCACACGGCAGTGTGCGGTCGTACCAGTTAACACGTGTGATCACTGGTGCTCATATGCACACGCATGTGGCCAGACCCAATCACACGCGAAAGGGTGCACACACCCAGGGAGAACCGCAGGCCCGATTCTCCTGGGCCGGGCTGACCCGGGACTCGGGGGGAGCCAGGAACCCAGAGGGCCGCTGCTTTGTGCAAGACCAGAGCGCGGGGGCGCCGGTTCCGACGCGAGGTTGGCGCCCCCCTCCACGGCGCCCCCCTCGCCAGTTTCATTGCCCCATCGGTGCAGGGCCGTGGTTGGGGCGCTCCTCTCTCTCCGCCCTCTTCGCCAAAAGGAGACCTCACCGCCCGCCCCCCCTTGGTTTTGCGGCCGCGCCTTCTCCTCCCCCTCCCGGCTCCCGCCGCTCGCTCGCTCGCTCCCTCCCTCCCTTCGTCCCTCCTCCCTCCCCGGCTCGCTGCTCGCTCCTTGCGCTCCCTCCCCGCGCCGCGGCAGAGCGCGGAGCCCGAGCGGGAGCCCGGGCGGGAGCCGGCGCGGGAGCCGGAGCGGGCGGCGGACGACAGCACGGGCGGCGGCAGCAGCGGCCAGTCCCGGAGCGCGCGGAGTCCCCACCCGCGCCGCTCCGGCCCCTCTCTCGACGCGGGGCTCCGAGCAGCATGCGTGTCCGCTGCCCGCCGGCCCCAGCCCTAGCCCTGGCCCCGGCCCTGCGGCGGAGCGCGCCCGGCCTCGACCCCGGCCCCAGCGGCAGAGGCGGCGGCGGCGGCTCCAGGCCGGCCGGGGGGGCAGAACCAGGCTCGTGGAGCCCGCGTCGCACGTCCTGAGCGCGTCCGCCCCTCCGCCCGCCGGGGCCGCGGCCTCCGCCTTCCCACTTCTGGGCCCCCGGACTGGGTCCGGCTTGGCTCCCACCCGCGTGGGGTAGACACACTGACCGCCAGCCCCGCGAGGGCGCGTGGACGGCCGGGCGGAGGTGTCGGAAGAGGAGGAGGAGACGGAGGAGGGGGCTGGGCAGGGGCTGGGGCCGGGCCGGCGGGAGAGACATGCGATTGGTGACCGAGCCGAGTGGACGGACGGCGCGCCCGAGATGCAGGTGAGCCCCGCTGCCGTGGTGAGCCAAGAGCGGTCAGCCCGCGGCGAGTGCCCCTGGGGGCCACCAGCGGCCCAGGCTTCTACCTCCTAGGGATGCAGGACACTCTAGTGTCCACCCAGACCTCCTTTGGGAGGGTCACAGGCCTGATCCCCTCCTAAGCCTCAGAAATAATTCCTCTTTTCTTATTTCTGCCACCCTAACATTTACAGATTGGTAAACTGGGATCCGGGAGCTGTGAAGGGTCCCCCACCAGCATCCCATTCCTGCTTTGGTGTCCCCCCCACTCCTTCCATTCTGAGCATTGGTCATGCAAAAGAGAAGCCCCTGTCTCCGTGAACCCCAGATCCCCCCAGGCAGTCCTCTCCTTCCCTAGGCACTCCCAAGCCAGTGGACACAGGTCAGGGACTGGGGTTCTCCTCAGGCTCCAGCCTGGATGGCGGCTCCCTCCCCACAGGAGCTTCGGCCCCTTTCCAGCTCCAGCCCAGGGAAAGAGAAATGAGGAGGGGGCGGAGTAAAGAGGAGAGGGAGTTGGGCAGAGGAGAACCCAGGAACCCTTTAGGGGCCTCCCCTTTGTCTGCCTTCAGCCGGGCTTCTCACCTCCTCTTGTCCCACTTTTCCTTCTGAGGCAGAGGGTGGGAGGTGGGAACCAGCTGTGAAGAGGGAGGTGAGGAAGGAGCCTCCTGCTCCCCCACCACACAACCTCTTTGGGTGGGCTATGGTGCTTTCTGCCCTCCAAGGCAGCCCCAGGAGACTCTTCTCTCTCTAGGTGGATCCCACTTTAAGGAGGAGGGGTGGGGCCGGGCCAGTGGACAGTCTCCTCTGGGCTTTTGGTGGGGTACCAGTCCAGCTTTCTTGTGCCTGCACCTCCCCTTTGTTCTCAGAGGTCCTGGGGTCTGGGTGGGGGAGAAGGGTCATGTGGGAGGATAGAAACAGCTCTGCCCTGTTGGGTGGGAGTGCCCGAGGCCCTGAGATGGAGGCAGTACCATCTGGGATAGCCCCTTCCTGCCAACCTTCCCTCGGTCCTCCTCTGCTTGGCTTGGGTAGCCAAAGGGTGCCCAGCCCAGCCTGGCCCCTGGTTCTCTGCTCAGCCCTGCTAGCCATTGTGCCAAAGGCTTCGCCACTGGGGCCTCCCTTGCCCGGAGAACCTGGGTCATCCAGCAGGTAGGGAGCCTGGGGCTTCCCCAGATCCAGTGAGGAGCGCTGGTAAGGAAAGACAGAGTCCACTGCTCTTGGGCTGTTTGTCCTTGTGTGGCCTGGGAGGGGCTCAGAGTCCTCCCACCACTGGGAAGGTGGTAGCCTTTGGTCTGCTGGGACAGCATAACTGTCCCTGCTTTCTACCCATGGCTGGAGACAAGGGGGTGGCAAGAGGGAAGAGGCCAAGAACTCCTTGAGCTCAGAAATGGGGCCAGGCAGCACCTAGCTGCCTCCTGGAGGCCGTTTAGCAGAGGTGAGACAGGCCCGCCCTAGGGGTCTTGTCTCTGCCCCCTGCCATCAGAAGTGTGTGATGGCCCTGGCTAGGTTCTGGTCCTGGCCCTGGGTAGTGTTCTTTAAGGCTTCAGTGCTCCCCAGACCTGGAGTTAGGGTGGGTCCCAAACCTGAGGGACCAGCTTTTATGGATGGGTGTGTGCTACAGG